AAATAATAAATTAAAAATAATGCTCACTAAAAAAAAAAAAATTAATTAATTAAAATGAAAACACCTAAATTACAAATAAACAATCTTGAAAAAGTTTCGAAAATTCAAAAATAAAAATACAAACTTGAGTTAATATTTTTCTATCATGCAAAATATACACTAAATGAAATCGGCAGCTAACTAAATTTTAAATTCGGAATTCGTTAACCAAAATCACAAAACAAACATGTTTTTTTAAATATTTCAGTGTTGAACTATTAGAAACTTAACAAAAGAAATCAAACAATAAGGAAAGACACACAACTTAATTGGAAACATAAATCGTAGTAAAAATGTCAAAGGCTAAAGCTAAAGGCAAATTAAATACACGAACAATTCCCAAACCCAAGCACCTAAAATGAGAGAATTCAACTGCAACAACAGCAACATCAGCAGCAACAACAACAATAACAACAACAGCGGCAGCAGGCGCTGCTTAAAGGTCGAGGACAATAAAGGTGCAGTGCGAATATAGCAATAAGCAGGACACTTAACCAAAACAAACCACAAAGGCTATGGAATGGAGCACCTATTTGGATGACGAATTGAAAGAGCGACAAAGCGACAGAAATAGAAAAATGAACAGCATACTGAGCTAGAGTCGAGTCAACGCAGCAGCCGCAAAACGAATGAGAGAGAGCAGAGCGAGGGCTAACACGAGGCAATTGGCAATTGATGTGGCCGCGGACAACAACAACAACAACAGCAACAGTAACAGCAACAGGAACAACAACAAGGCAACGGAGCAGAGAGACAACAAACGAGGAGACGGCACAACAACAACAACAACATCAGCATCAGCATCAACAGGAGACAATCGCTGGTATAGTGTCTCATGCCAGTCGTCGTCTGCAGCGGCACACGCCCAGCGCAGTTGAGCTCGAATCGATCTCCGATTCAGTGCTGCTCTGTCAGCAATTGATGCTATTCGTTTTGGCATTGTTCTGGTTGAGCTACGCCTGGACAGCGCGCAGTCAAACGATATCGCATTGGCAGCGCATGTATTGAGACATTAACTAACACACGCACACACACAGAGACACGCTCACACAAAGACACACACACACACACCCACACACACATACACAGCTACTAACGCATGCACTGATGTACTGACTGAATGCCTCGCTGCCTAAACATACAACAACAACAACTAAATCACTGACTGAGCGACAGGAAATTAGAATTGGATAAGCAAAGAAGCTATACAACTGAACGAAGACAAAGAAGAGGAAGAAGAAGAAGAAGCAGAGATCATTACTTAACTAAATACTGCAACTGTAACTGTAAAACATCAACTAATACTTACTTTATACCAACAACAACAACAACAACAAATTACATTGTTAATGCCACGCTAAAGCAACAAAAACAAAAACCAAACGAAAAAATTTTTAACTAAGCAATAATACGCACCCTCGAATAAAACCCTTCCAAGTCAAAAGTAAACCCTTTTGACTTTTGCCACGCACCACAACAGCAACAACAACTAATTGCACCACCATGAGTGTTTCAGCAATGGATAAATTAACTATACTAACGCCCCGCACCCGGACGCCCCTGCTAACAATTTGGCTAGCCATAAATATGGCGCTAATCGTACAGGAGACGGGCCCCAAACGGAGCACCACAGTGCAATCTGCGTAAGTTATGCAAATTGATTGATYGATTGACCAACTGAATAGATGTAAGCCTTATGTAATTGGGAATGGTCTAATATCTTAGTTCTCATGAGTCCACTAAAAAAGTAAAAGCTGATTGACTGATTGCTAGACTAAATATGCATCGAATGCATTATATATCTTTAGTATGTGAATCAATTGAATATCAAAAAGAAATGTTTTTATAGAGTACACAGTCGATTGCATATGTAATCTTTCTGTATAGGAAAATTCCCGCATGTGGATAATAATAAATATCGTTTAATAGGAATAAAAACAGAGCATAGATTAATTACTATAAAGACACATATATATATTGATTGATATCACTGAGCAATATAATACAAATTTTTCCGATTATCCGATTGATATATCAGCACATTGACTTTTTGACACCCCCTAAATGAAAATACATTTGCCTAAGAGCCAAGCGCAAGTGTTGATTGAAACAATTAGTTGATTATTTGATTTACATGGTTAGGCTGATACTTTGAAACTCTTGTTGTCATTCCAATCAGAATAGATATAATTAATGAAGTTCACATAAACAAGTTATTCAATTTGTGGTAGAATGAGAAAGTTCAATAGTTGTTTGAATGATTGACTTTGTGTAATTAAAACAAAACTTTGAGATAATAGTTAGTTAGAGATAATAGTTAGCATAGTTTGATATACTTCCAAGTGCATAAAAAGGATTACTGAAGGGTAAATGGAGATAATAGTTAGTACCGATGCTATGATATACTTCGAAGTGCTTAAAACAGATTTTTCAAGACTTTCATTTCATATTCCAGTCTACTTGGCTTAGAGATTGAGATAGTAATAGAGAGATATCATATGGATAGAGTGCTAAGAAGTTACTATGAAAACCTGGATACTTATGATCAGTTTATGTTGAGATTATGTAAATATATTAGATACACAGATATAGTTACACCATATATAATAATTAAACATATAGTATTCATATAAAAATCAATATTTTTCTCACTCAACCTATCCAAAATGAATTGCTGAATAAAAAAAAAGCGCTTAAGCTCAATATTTTAATAACAATAAATTTTATTGTAGCGACAGTTTGCTGCAATGCACAACTGCAGCAAGTGCTGTGTGTGTTTGAGTGTCTGTGTGTATGTGTGTGTGTGTGTGTGTGTGTGTCGCAATGGAGTCATAGTTCATGCTAATTTATGATTATACAAAATTAGTTGACTGCGGCTGGCTCTGGCGCTGCCACTGAAAAATGTTCAGCGTGGCTAATTAGGCGCAATGACAGCTTGTTTTCGACCAGGTCAACAGTAAATGCTACAGTAAATACTGCTACAGTGAGGACGCGTTTTGCTTTTTTTTTTACTTTCGAAATAAATGTTAGCAATTTATTAAGCTCGCATTTGCATGCGGCCCAAGGGCCATTAAAAAGCGACGCAGGCTTAAAAATGACAACTGGCTGGCGCAGCACTCGTAATTACCAACTGGCTAGGTACAGGGTAGAGGGGAGCGCGAAGGGCTGTCACATACCTCTTACATATTAAAGAGAAAGGTAGTTTGTTTGGCTTTCGAGAGGTGCATGCGACATATTTGATTAGCGGGCCAAAAGAAATGTCCACAATTGTGGCATTTGGCAATGTTTTGCTTTTCCTTTTCGGGTTAACGTTCATTAGGCCATATTTACGTGCAGTGGAAAAAGAGAATGACAGAGGTTGAGGTAGTGTAGACACACACAAACACACACACACACACATAACATTTGCATAAGCCGCCCAAAGCAGGCAATTGAAGTAAATCAAATGGCTGGGCCCAAAGTCTCTGAGGCGACTGCCACTAACTAGAGCTGAGACATACAAATGCACGTTTAAGGGCTGAGCCGATCGCGTGTAGTGCCTATCCAGCTGGGCGGGGCAGGCAGAGGCAGAGATGGGGCCGCGAATGTCGTGGAAATGTGGCAAGTGGCACGATTTTCAGCACAGTTGGCTGCTTATTTGGGCCAGGCGGCATTGGAGTTGACTTTACGCCACTTTTTCATGCAACATTGCACAGCCAACACACATCCAGCACATGCAGCACAGCAAATGATAGCCTTGCTTGTACACACACACGCACACACACACACACACACACATACACGGAGTAAGTTGCCGCCAAGAAAGGTTAAAGGCCAAAGCAACACATCGACACAATTTGTGCGAGCACAAAAAAAATGAAATCAAAGAGGAAAAAAAGTGCGACGCCTGCTGCTGTTCACTTTAGACCCAACAACTTCCTGCCTGGCTGGAGACTGGACACGGCTGGCACTAGCTGCTGCTGCTGCTGCTGCTCCTGCTCCTGATTCTCCTCTCCTTCTCCTTCTTCTATCGCCCGCTGTGCCCTGTTGTGCGGCACTTGCCACACAAGTGCGCACTTCACTTGGAATTTATTGATGGCAGATAATGCCGAAGTGCCACCGACAAAGCAACACCGCCCAACTGACGACAGCAGCAGCAATGTGTATTGGTAGTGCGTGTGTGTGTGTGTGTTTGTGTGTTTGTGTGTGCCAAGCTGCATCGTTCAGCAGCATGAAAGTAGATTGTTTTGATAGGGCTTGGCCGACTCGCAAATGCACTAAAAATAGATGTGAGCGGAAGAGTTAGGGTCTGAAATATACTTGATTTAATGTGAAAAATGTTGACATTTATCTATTTTATTATTATTAAATTTTATATTTTTAAGAATATGAAATATAAAAT